GTGGGGTTTGAAACGACGACCTCTTTGAGTGGAAAAGGTCCTCTGAATTAAAATTTTATCTATGTTCTGGGTCAACTAAGAGGGTACATCAAGAGCCCCACTCTGAAATTGATGCCAATAGGGAAGGTTATTTGTACAGATTAAAGGGATAATATCTCTTCATTTTGGCCAAAAAATTAATTTTCCTAGAGTAAACAACAATTTTCCCATACTTATCAATGGTTAATGAATCCATTTTTACATTCAAAGTTAGTCCCTGGTTTTTTCTAAAAAGTTTTTTTTTTTTTTTGTTATAATCTCTTAAGAGACTATAACAGAGTATAGCCATCAATGGAGGTCACGTGGTTTAAAGACAAGCTCAGATATCAGAATAATAGCTATAACTGCCGTTTTGTGTTAAAGCAGAATCTATTGTATTTCTATGAAATGCTCACAATGTTTTTATTGTGAAATATAGATCTCATACAAAGAGTTATTATCCCTTTAACTTTGTTGCTCTGATTTATACAAATTACGCAGCACTGTCTTTAAATTCAGATTTAGCTTTCACAGTGCAATGGCTGCACGTTTCCCCCCTTGCTCTCCTTTACATGTTAAGATAATTTAGACATTTCCCTGTATTTCAACTATGTTTAGCCTTTACAAATACATTAATTTATGTTTTTTGTAGGTGTGCTATCTCTGTTGGCTTATTGTGGCACCTCACTGGGTTGTATCATATGGTACAATTACATGCTTTCTATCGTTATTTATTTAAGCAGTTTATAATAAATGTATTTCTTTTGTCTTTTGTCTGTTTATCATTAGACTGCATTTTGGTTCTTAATAGCGCCTGAGGTATTTGCATATTGGGCATAATATTTAGTGTTTTTAGTCCAAGTACATTAACATGATGAACCAATTAGCTTATTCAAGACAGCGGTGCATGTCAGTGATTCTTTATCACAGTTTTTAAAAGAGTTGAAGGAACCTTACCTGAGTGTGATGACTTGCGTGTGGGCAGTTTCAGCCAACTGTGCGGCAGCTGTTGTCACCATTTCTTTTAAATACTCTTGCCCTCTGACGGTTGAACACGCCAGAGGATGGGGAGGTAACACAGTATCACAGGGATTAACAAGTAGCAGCACTGGGCCCACTTTGGTCTGAAAGTAAGAGAAGTCGACATTGTAGGAATATTCTTTCAGTATAAGCAATCTTATACCAGTATATGATATAATTATTGCAAAAGATGGCTTTTAGAGCAAAATGTCTCATTAACATTTGACCTTTTGACCATATCATGCATGACCAAATGAAAGTATTCCATAAATCCTTAAATGCCATAAAATCATTTCAGAGCATGAAATTAGTACTTACAAAGTAAAGCCCCTTCTTAAATCTGCTTTGCAGCAACTTGATAACAGCATCCTCATTCAAAGCTCCAACAAGCTGGGATAGGTCATCAGTGTCCATGGCTGTCATCTCCTTTGGCTTGCTACTGCCTAAATAGAAGTTTTCTATCCCTATACAATTAAACACTAGGTTTGAAAACTTCCTCACATACAGAAAAAGACAAGATGGTTTTTATCACAGATATAGTGTGAAAGTAATGAGCATTAATCCAAAGGTTCTGGTTCAAGGATAATCAGCTAATTACATTTGCATTAGCTGTCACGGCACATATCCCAAAAATGTGCTGTATATTTATTTTGTCAGACCAAAACATAAAGTAACACATTTTACCTCATTGAAAGTATACACAAACCAATGGCTGCAACATACCTTCCATGCATTTTAATAAAACCATAGTGAGATCATTTCATGAGTGGTCTGCTTTATTTCTCAGCTCATAGATGTTGGGGGGGGGGGGGGGCACGTCGCCAGCACCTGCCCCTTTGTCAGGTGATTGGATAGATTTACACCACACTGATGCGTGTCTCCTTCTTACCCCTCTCACCGTTTTTTTTTCTTTTGAATTTTAGCCTCCCCATCACCCCCCCCTCCCCTCCCTCACACACACAACACACACACTTAATATTTGCATGCTGTGCACCTGTATTTAGGTCTGCCAGCCTTAAATGTTGGGTTGACATAAGTATTGTAGTGATCAAATGTATGTACATGTACCAGCATGTACAGGTTGTACTGATATTACAAATCATAACAATGTAAATTTGACTTTTTTAAGACCAACCCAAAACAAGTCGCTTTCACGCTGTACTAACACAAAATGTTCCAACATTACATACAAATATGAAAAAAAATATCAAGTGAGTTAAATTTTATGTGTTCAACTCCAGAGAGCAATTCAATGTGCTCCTATTATTAAACAATCCAAAATTTATTTCTCATAAAATTATCTTTCATTGAATGAGAAGAACAGTCTCTGATCTCTCCCAGTGCAACACAAAAATATACAGTGCATCAAACCTCGTGAAAATTTGTTGTATTGCGATTTATCACAATTTTTAAAGTATATAACGCTACACCGTCAACTTCACAATATTGAATGACGCTTTACCAGTTAAAAAATTCAAAATTCAAAGTCTTACCTGGCTTTGAGCTGGCCTGCGTTTCACACGAAAAACAGCATTTGGGCTCAATAACATTCACTACCTCGGTCTCCGAACTTGAATTAATTCTGGGCTGCTCATGCACGTATTCCTGATACCTTGAACAGTTTAACACGTTGTTTCCTGTTGTCACGTTGCCAACATCTGCCCCTTTGTCAGGTGAGAATCCAATCGATTGGATAGATGTACACCACACTGATGCGTGCCTCTCTGGGTCCATCTGCTCTTTTTTTAAGTATGCGGCTCGGGTTTGTTGGCAGCATCTGCGCTCCACGATGAGTGACAGCTCGGACGGCTAACAGTAAAATCCGCACCTCTTTACCTGCGTCAATTACTACAGAGAACAATAGTCCAAGTTGCCTTGTGCCCTGAAGCAGGTGGGTCTTCATACGAACAAGACAGCATAATATATTCCGCGATCTCCTCACATACTTCCGTGTACAATCATCCGAATAACAGGTTTGACACCCGTTTTTAGTGGAAGATAGAGGAGGGATTATCTAATTTTTATTTCCTACCGGCTACAGTGCAGTTGTCGGTCATCAAAATCTTTATAAGCGAGTTCTAACATGAGTAAACCAATGATACGTCATTCAAAAAATGTAAGGCTATGCAATTTATGTATTACTTTATTAATGAGTACATTAGTTTTCTTCGCTATTTTCGAAAATTTTACTAAAACGCTAGCAGTCAAATATGTGTTATGACGTTTAGACAAAACGATCTCAGGCCACCCGTACACCTTGTCAACACGCATTTGGACATTTATCATCTGTAAATTCACCCTTATCAGTTTTCCCACTATCCTTTCACTTTTCCTTTAAAGGTAAAAGTGACAGGCAACATCTTACAAATAGTTTTAATAGCTTTTGGTTGCAAATAGCGCCTTTGTTTGTATCATGCTACACCTATGATTACTACTCTACATGTACAACTACAGCCGCGTCACGTTGTCAAAACGAGTGTCACTGAGGTCAAGAAGAAAACTGAAATCTCTGCGTTTTTATCTCAACAAGCGAGCTTCTCATCGAAAAAAAAAACTGTTTGCGCGTTCAGTCTTTACGTTTAAAGTTATGCAAAATGTGATTTATAATCAAAGACATAAAAAGACCCCCATTCTTTTTGTTATCCGGGATCTGTTCGTGCCGTATCACAAACAGTTACCTGTATGTAATAATTTTTTTTTTAGTTGTCAAATTTTCGACTTACTACGCCAGATTTCACCAGGACATCTACCTATCAGTTTTGGGCAGGTGTACGGCGCACAGGTGTCTTATTATATGTGTAGTATGCTAAAGGCGTCCGGGAATTTAATGCGCCGAAGTCAATTTCTCCTACAATTAAGACAAATTGCGACCCCTCCCTGCACTTTGATTTAGGTGTATTATACTATTTCTGTTTAGATATTTTAGTTTAAATGTCTGACCAAAGAAAAAATACCGACATCAGGTAATTTTATTTTAGGTGTTTCAATACATTTCCCAGGTTTGAACAGAGAAAGATGAGTGACTTTGCAGGAACACGAAGTTCACATATGAAACTTGAAAAAAAATGAACCAATTCCTTCATTGGCACTTGAGTTGCGAGGAATGGCAACGTGACAGCAATAGTGTATAGAAAAAAGACCCATACCTATCGATGCTTGACATTTAGTTCAAAGCATCCGTTACACCAAAAGTTGGGAGTAGTCACAATATTAAGAGACAGATGTGACAAGATTGTAACTGTTCTGACTTAGAAAAAAATGGAAAAAAGGACATCACTACGGACGCATTGAGAATAAGTAGCTACGGTAATTGGTCAGTGAATACAGAAGAGGGCATGATGAGAACTGGAGAAGAGAAAAACAAAAATAGCTGGAGAAGAGAAAGAACAAAGAAAACGGGAAAGAGGACAGGAACAAAGAACGTGTCACCGTTCTCTTCGTTAGTAATCTAATGGAAATTCCCAGAATACGGAAAAAAAAAGAAAAATTCTCTGCAGTTACGAAACCAAACTTTTCTATTAGAAAACTTAGAATGCACAATAGAGACAGTCTAGAGCAAAAGATGGAGTATACATCATGGAATGCAAAAATTGTGATAAACGATAAACAAGAGAGAGAAAGAGCTCGTTGAACACAAAGAGAAAATATCATTTTTAAATTATAAAAAAATGGATCAAAAACATGTCTTCAGGCTCTACTACCAAGGACAAGCAAAGTGTGTCAGAGAAAAATATGCGGTGTTCTGATCGCAACTTGAACTTCTGGCAGTGTAAATAGCATATAGCTTGTACGTTTCCATCAAATATGTACCATGCACTTACGAAACTAAAAAGGTGACGTAATTCCCCGGATTTCATTGCATAATGATTCCATCTCTCTTGGCACAGTTTGACGTAAGCAAATCCTTGCAGTGAGTGGGGCACGTTTTATGACGTGAAACGTAACGTCACAGTCGTTGCTGTCAGTTGTCATAACAGAAAACGTCATGCTACGTTTCACAGTTTATTATGACAACGGGTTTGTCTTGTTGACAGATAGAGTGTTTTCTTTATTTCGTTTGAAACTTTATAATTGATGATGGCGAGTGTATCAATGGTATAACTATTTACAATGGCAATTCTGGCAATCAATTTCTCTGCAGATGGCAGATCCAAACTTGGCTTAGCGCTAGCGATTCTTTGTTGGATTTCAATTGTACCATGCCTCATGCTTGTGGGACTTGGAGCATATATCAAGCTAAAGCTAGCTGACAAAATGCATTTGGTGGACGGGTACCACGGAGACAGTTTGCCTTATATGTTGATATCTATTGGACTGCTGTCTGCCATTGTCAGTGGCATTGGCGGGTTGATATGTAACATCAGCTCAAAAGCTGACACAAGAGCACTATTTAAATCATTCTTGACCCCATACGTGGTCATCCTAGCAGTACTTTGCGTTTGCGTTCTTGCTGCTGGCATCATGTGTTTCACAGAAATATCGGCACTGCACAAATCTTTTCACAGGGGAATACTTTTGGCAATGTTTAAATACAGGAGCAATCCTGGAGTAAAGTCAAAAGTGGACTTACTGCAAATGGAATATCGCTGCTGTGGTAACACCAATTACGCCGACTGGTTTCAAATTCCTTGGATTAATGAAAATTTTCTGAAAATTGAAGACAAAGATGTCAAAGGGTAGGTCAGACCATTTTTGAATAATAATTTTATAGAATAATTCCATTCAGATGTTGTAGAACTGCTCATAAAGGCCAACCGTGTTTCTTGGTGATTTATATGAAAGGTTATATTTCAGGAAAATTAAGAAAAAGGGCCCCCGAAAAAAACAGGACTTCTATACGAACGATGATGTGCCCTTTAGCTGCTGTGACCACGCCTCTCGTCGCCCGTGTATCCATCATGATGTACATGACAACAGCAAACATTACAACTACGATTACAGAGTAAAAACAACTTTGAACCAACACGGCTGTAAGAGAGCGCTCATGCGCTTCTTCGGAGATCAAGTTCTCACCAATGGGGGTGGTATTACCCTTGGAGTGTTCGGTTTACAGGTTAGACATTAAATCTAGCAATTTTTTTCAATTGTTCTGCACAGTTTATTGTTTAGGGTTTAAATTTCAGAGCCAAAATATTTTGATTTAACTGAGAAATTGGTATTATACATGCGTTTGCGAACCCATTCGGCATAAATTTGCATCCCCATCACGTCAGATTGCTATGTACACATTATTGAGGTGATATGTGTGTGGATGCTTTCATAAAATATTTGGAAATGGGAAATTTTTGAAAATTAAAGATTCGGTTTTTGCCTAAATGTTGTGTACTGTATATTGTAGGCGTTACGGTTTACTAGTTGGAGTCAGCGTGATTTTATACACTCATTTAAGAAGGGAAAAAAACCGACTTGGTTATTATTTAGACCAATTTTGAAATAACAACGACGATACTTTTCTTAATAACTTTTAGTTGGTCATCTTAGTCCTTTCACGTTACCTGCAGTCTTCGGTTCATAACGCCACGGAGCAAGGAGACCCAACTGCGCCTGCGCTCGGGTGGTTGATAGGAGACTTTGGAGCCGAAAAACCCAAAGGTAGATAAAGCGAATATTAATATTTCTGTAGCGCGAATTCTTAAACTTTATAGAAAAATATGCAAAATACAAATTAATAAGAAGCGGAGTGGCAGTTTTTGTGACCTAACACCCGCGCTCGTGCTTTGCAAAGGATAATATAAGATTTTTAGACAAGGTCGACGTCTGACTTCATTTACCTTTAGACGAAAATAACAAAAATCAGTCCCGTTGACTTCGCGATCGGGGGGACGGGGGGATCGAACGAACCGTCTTTTTTTTACCTGGAACAAATCCGCTTTTCAAGGAGATATGGCTTCTATTGACTGTGATTTGTGAGTTTGTCATTTTATTTCCCGTGAACTGTGCAAATGAAATAAACTCCGTTTCAAACATCTTTCTCTCTTAATGTCAAAAATTATTCCCTTAATAATCTCCACAATCACATGTTGCAAGATAGTATTACGTTGCTGCACGATCATCGCAAGTACACCGAATGGGAATCTTGTAATTTCATCTACTATATTGCTACAGCCAACAGGCTTTCGGATTGAACTTTTGGCAAAAATTTCAACGTGGGTAGTGAATTCTTACGATATCGTACGACAACCGCCTGCTTCCACGCGGATACCGGTGTACCATAAAAATCTGACTCCCCCAAAATGTGACTCCCCAGTCAGATTTTCATTATGAAAATGTGACTCCCCAGTCAAATTTTCATAATGAAAATGTGACTCCCCCCATGAAATTTTGACTCTCCCCAAAAAACTTTATAAATCTTATTTTATTTGAGTATATGACTTTTAAATTGTGGTATGCATAATGGATAATACATTTGCACTTTTTGTTAGTTTGCAGGTGAAAATTTTAATGAGAAAATAAGTAAATTAACAATGTGTATTTTATCACCCAATGACTCCCCTATGAAAAAGCTTTTTATTTGATATTTGCATGGTGATCATTTCAACATTTGTCCCTTTACTATACTTTATGAAGAATATATTGGGAATATTTGAAAGTTTGGTGGTAAAATATTGGGTGCAAAAAATGAAAAAATAATCATGAAAAATCTTTATATTCATACCCATGGGATTTTGGACTGTCATGAATAAAAGGCATTATTTTATATTAAGTCACCATACCATTGTTTTTCACATGGTTTGCATTGTGACGTATATTTTGTTAGTATTTAAAAGTTTGGTGGCGAAAATTTTGGTGAAACTTGATAATTTTTTAAACAAGTATTCATCTTACTAACTGTAGGATTTGGACTCCCATAGCCTTTTCATAGGAGTCATTGGGTGAAAAAAAAATTAATATTCTTATTTCCTCATGAAAAATTTCAAAAAGTGCCAATGTATCCTCCATTATACATACTTCAAGATAAAAGTTATATATTCAAATAAAATAAGATTTATAAAGGTTTGTGAGGGGGAGTAAAAATTTCATGGGGGTAGTCAGATTTTCATTATGAAATTTTGACTGGGGGGAGTCAGATTTTCATGTTACACCGGGCGAAAAATAACATACAGGCAGTACACGTGCACCGAACGGACATCGCCTGACAAATGTAACCTTGGCTTTAATATTATTGCATGGCTTATAAGAATTAAGTAGACTGTTGCAAGGGAAAGTATTACATCTCTCTGACAAAATGTCAATAAAAGCATCAATCTTGCACTAACAACATAAACTGTTTTTCTTTTACAGATGAAAAGGACGATGGCGCGATGTTAATGGAAGAGGAAGAAAAACTAGATATCGATGAAGAGGAAGTAACAGAGCACGTAGAAATTATAGAGGATGTCGAGGAATTTGAAGAGCCAATTTACGAAAATATTCCACACGACGAAGTCATCGTACTGAGTGACGAAGATTATAAAGCCTAGGCATACACCGCGGTTACCGATTTGTCAAAGTGACGATAAGTTTTTCATAGACGGTAAAAAGATTATACTAACTTTACCACTTACAGAACTGTGATTTATACTATATTCAGTGAATAATAAACACATTTTCTAACAAAATGATGCAATCATTTAATGTCTGCATCAAATAATCTTATTTACACGTCATATACAAAAATGTCTTTCACGGCAAAAAATAACAATAAAAAAAATTGCTCGAGATTAAATATGCACAAAGCCCGGTGGTGAATAAACGGGTGTCTACATGCTAACCTTTGAATACCAATAAGATCGGATGGTTTTCTTTTAAAAGTGCATTTCACTTGTCTTAGCCCTTTACGTTAGTGTAAAATGTTTCAACACTTCTTCCCCGCATGCACAAACATACCAGCCTAAGCTTACTGTTTTTTAAAAGTTTCTATCAGGCAAGATAGGAATGGTTGTTATACGCTTTAGCGTGTCTGCCTGGTACACCCCTTCTCTAAGTCTATATTCTCCATGGAAGTTGGGAAGCTGCTGGCTTCCCCAGGGCAATTCAACTGATACGGGCTGCTTGTAAGCGAATGCGGTGGAGGGTAAAGTTTAGCTCCGGGAACTTTGAAATCGCTGCCAAGTTTCGACATTAAGTCCATATCATCAGGCAAGTAGGTTTCCATACAGCTTGTGAATGAAGACAGACCCACTAATGATTTGGCGCCATTTTTGTTTTTCCTCCTTTTATAGCTGAAATTGTACCAGCGCCAGACGCCGAACCCGCCGGCGATAGCTACGAAGAGTAAGCAAGAGATTCCTGCTATCCACCCTGTCAACGCAGTGACATTATTGCGTATATTATCAACGTGAACCCTAGTCTTGTTCAGGGAGGCCGCAGCATTTCCCAAGCCGGTTTCCATTTCATCTGAATAAGGCGAAAAAAAAAATTATAATTGTGAAACAAAGCACCACACATTTCAGGTTATCATTTCAACCATCCGTTTTTTTCCAAAGCATACGGGTTAAATGAGAAGAATAAATAGTACCAAATAAATAAACAAATAAATAAATAAATAAGTTGGGAGACTGTCAATCAAATTTGTCAAATTGTATACAATAAAAAATGAAATATTTGAAAGGTTATTATTTTGCAAAGGATAAAATTAGTATGTGAATTAAGTTGAAGAAGAATGATTTGATTAGAAGGACAAGATTTAAAAAAACAATGTATTTTCGAATAGAAAATTTAATTTAAGAAATTAATAGCAAAATCGTTAACACGTTAGCACCATACCGCATTATTATTAGCGAGAACTGCACCACCACTGGCCTTACTTACTTAGTCCTGCATTAAGGATGAAGAACACTTCCAGCCTAAAACAAGAATAACTGCCTGGGGTGTTGATGCACTTCACGTTGTCATCCCCACATAGCGTGGCATTCTCTGTTGAAAAGCACTCGTCTATATCTGGAACAAGGACACAAAACCGCATACAATTTTCAACAAAAGCAGTTTTCGCTCAGAGAACGATTTATTCAAACGAGTTAGAATAGTTTCAGGGTTGCCGAATTCTTAGGAGTGGTCCATCCCGTATCTGTCAGCATTTAACTAATTAGTCCATGTCTTTAACCCAGGGCTGCCCAATCAACCAGTAGACAGCCAATTGCACTGTAGCTGTTGCTTATCTTCTCGCGCTCATTAATGTTAAATGAGTAGATGCGCCCTGGTCAGAAAGGACCACGTCAGGAACGAGCAGATACAGTTAACCTGGTTACCCTTGAAAATTACAGGTACAAACAGATGCGCGAAAACAAACATATTAACAGAAATTATCATGCAGTTCCAGCCGCATATTCAAGTGTAGGGTGAATTAAAGATAAACCTGAAATGGCTGAGCAATTAGTCTTACCTATACATTCTTTTGTGTCATTACTTCTTAGGTACCCTTCAAAACACTTGCACTCGAATCCTCCAACTGTGTTATTACAAATATGTTGGCATCCTCCGTGGTCGATTTCGCATTCATTTGTGTCTGTAAAGTTTTTTTAATCTTTAAAAATAGTCACTTGAGGTAAAACTAGATTGTTAACCAAAAGAAAAAAAGGCGATCAAATAAAAAATAGACTAAGTGATCTTCAAGGTACCTTTCGCCTGACAGTTTTTTATTCCTTAATTGTAAACACGTTTGCACGTGCTTCTGAATGAATACTGCATTTAACGTTAAAAATAACAATAATTCAGATTTTATTTCTTACCTTCACATGCTGTGCCATTCAAAGGTTTTCTTGTACCGTCGGCTTTGATGCAAACACACATAGGCAACCCATTAATTACTTCTATGCATTGCATCTCGTCTCCTTGAGCTACAAATACAAAACAAGCAATGTAAACAACTATAAAAATTATCATCCATGTGTAAGAAAAGTCAAATGCAATTTTATATGATATATGTCGAAGATGGTTCAATTCACTTAATTAAGTAATTAACTGCAAGCGCACACATTACATTGAAAATTCTCGGCTTTCAAAATTGGATGAATAACTCACCGTTACAAGTTTCATTAGATGGGATAAGCTGGAAACCGTGGCGACAGGTACAAAAATATGCGCCAATAGTATTGATACAGTCATGGTCACAATTACCATTGGATACTAGGCACTCGTTGTCGTCTAAAACAGAATATAAGCAGTATTTAATTATCAAACCACTAAGTAAGAAACAAGGCTTTCACCATTTCAACCATTAAATAAGTAAGTCAGTTTGAATATAATTATTTGAATAGAGTAATTTGAATTACGTTATAAGTGTTTGAAGACAGTGCACATACCTAGATACTGTGGACCTGTTTCCCCCGTTTGTCCCGTTCCCCCAGTAGATCCAGTTGGCCCTACGTCACCAGTTGGCCCCGTTGCTCCTGTTGCCCCTGTAGGTCCAGTGGCGCCTGTAGCTCCAGTTGATCCAGTTACACCAGTTGAACCTGTCCCACCCGTAGCACCAACAGCGCCTGTAGCACCTACATTTCCAGTGACACCTGTTGGACCAGTGGCACCAGTTGGACCAGTGCCACCTGTAGGTCCTGTTGATCCTGTTGCACCTGTGGAACCAGTTGGTCCTGTGGCGCCAGTAGCCCCTGTTGCACCTGTTTGTCCAGTGGCTCCTGTAGACCCAGTTGCTCCAGTTACTCCAGTACTTCCAGTAAATCCTGTAGCTCCTGTGGAACCAGTTGCCCCTGTTGCACCTGTTGCCCCGGTTTCGCCTGTTGGACCTGTTGCACCCGTAGGACCTTCTGCACCGGTCATTCCAGTTGAACCCTTTGTTCCATTGACCCCACTTGCACCAGTAAGCCCAGTTGGACCTGTAGGTCCTATGCTTCCAGTCGCTCCAGTAGGTCCTGTGCTTCCTGTGGGCCCAGTAGGCCCTGCAGCTCCAGTCGGGCCGGTAGCTCCAGTTTGCCCTGTAGCACCAGTAAAACCTGTTGATCCTGTTGGCCCCGTTGCGCCTGTTGAACCATTGTAACCTGTTACACCAGTAGACCCTGTTGGCCCTGTGGGCCCAGTTGGACCTGTGGATCCTGTTGGCCCTGTCACACCTGTGCTTCCTGTCGTTCCTGTGGCACCTGTAGGACCTGTTGGTCCCGTGGCACCTGTTGGACCTGTAGCACCTGTAGGACCTGTAAGGCCTGTTGCACCAGTTGATCCCGTAGGCCCAGCAGCACCAGTCGGACCAGTCGTTCCATTTGAACCAGTNCGTGGGCCCAGTAGGTCCTGTAGCTCCAGTCGGGCCGGTAGCTCCAGTTTGCCCTGTAGCACCAGTAAAACCTGTTGCTCCTGTTGGCCCCGTTGCGCCTGTTGAACCATTGTAACCTGTTACACCAGTAGACCCTGTTGGCCCTGTGGGCCCAGTTGGACCTGTGGATCCTGTTGGCCCTGTCACACCTGTGTTTCCTGTCGTTCCTGTGGCACCTGTAGGACCTGTTGGTCCCATGGCACCTGTTGGACCTGTAGCACCTGTAGGACCTGTAAGGCCTGTTGCACCAGTTGATCCTGTAGGCCCAGTAGCACCAGTCGGACCAGTCGTTCCATTTGAACCAGTTGCTCCCACTAAACCTGTTGAACCAGTGGCACCAGTTGGTCCTTCAGATCCTGTAGCACCAACTGATCCTGTTGATCCAGTAGCACCAGTTGGTCCAGTGAGCCCTGTTCCTCCTGTTGCACCAGTTGGGCCTTCTGCCCCTGTAGGTCCTGTAGGTCCTGTTTGCCCTGTAGCCCCTGTGGCACCTGTTCCACCAGTAGGACCTGTGGTACCTGTGGCACCAGTAGGACCTGTAGCACCTGTTGCACCAGTAGGACCTGTGACTCCAGTGTTGCCAGTTGGGCCAGTACTTCCAGTTGCACCAGATGATCCAGTAGCACCTGTTGCTCCTGTTGGTCCACTCCCCCCTGTTGCACCTATGCTCCCTTAAGATAAATGGTTGGGTTATGGTAATAAAAACTATTTATAAAGCGAGCGTGGATTTCCAGTAGTGCACATAAACCCCTTCAACTAGTTTCTTAAACGTCTAAAATGAAGTCGAACTGCCAAGTCAAAAACCAAATTAATTTTTCATTGACCCCAAAAATAGCTTTAAAACTGCACCTTCTTTTACTTTTTGGTCTTTTATTGACCGTTTGATATGTCTGTCCAGTCCAGTCTGTCTGTTCGCTACATGACGTACTGCCAGTGCATTGCAAAATAATCACTCTCACTACATTGTATGGATGTATATCTGCATGTACAATTGCATACTTAATCAATGAGACTACTTATGAATATTTATTGAACAGAAAAAACAGAAAATATTCGAAAAATATCATTGTTCGTAAAACATGTAACAATGGGGCCATTCAGAATGAGAAGAGTCGAGTTTCAGCTGGTCCACGGCCTAAATATGGCGGACCTACATGAAAGGAAGACCGCTTAATCCTGTAATGGTCTCTCTGACTCTCATATGCCTCCCCACGAGTCATCACTCGACCTAATTTAGGCCGTGGACCAGCTAGCACTCGGCTCTTCTCATTCTGAATGGCTCAATGTCTTTTAGTATTTCTCCAAGTTATACTATATTTGAAACTATATGGTGGCGTTTAGTCACATTTTGTGGCAAAAATTTGACTTTATATGCATCTTCAAGATCTAACAGCGAAAAGGACACATTGGAATAATATCCGTTTCTCCAACTAGACCAGGAGTTCCGTTGGACCCAAATTAATTTCGTTTTATAGGTGTGGTTTGGTGTTTATCATCATCATGCTACATACCTGTTGATCCAGTATTCCCCTGAGGTCCTGTGGCCCCAGTACTTCCATTTATGCCAGATGCACCAGTCTCACCAGTGGGACCAACAGGTCCAGTTGCACCAGTTGGTCCAGTTGGTCCAGTTGCTCCTGTCGTTCCAGTTGAACCTGTACTGCCAGTAGCGCCAGTGCTTCCTGTGCTGCCAGTTGACCCCGTCGCTCCAGTGGGTCCTGTTGCACCAGTTGTCCCATTAGCACCTGTTGCGCCACCAGCTCCTGTAGATCCAGTTGCTCCAGTGGCACCCGTAGCACCAGTTGGCCCAGTTGCTCCTGTAGGTCCTTCTGCTCCAGTTTTCCCCGTAGCTCCTGTTGCACCCGTTTCACCAACTGGACCAGTGGCTCCAGTGGACCCAGTTGTACCTGTTGATCCAGTCTGGCCTTGAGGTCCTGTAGCCCCTGTTGGTCCAGTAGAACCGGTAGGCCCAGTATTTCCAGTGCTGCCCGTACTACCTGTTGGCCCAGTGGCTCCTGTTGTTCCATTTGCTCCAGCCAATCCAGTAGCACCAGTGGCACCCGTAGCTCCCGTAGACCCTGTTGAACCAGTTGCACCCGTGGGACCTGTAGTGCCTGTTGCTCCAGTAGCACCTGTTGGTCCTGTGCTGCCAGTAGGGCCTGTAGTTCCTGTCGCACCTGTTAAGAACTCATAATTCTGTACATAATTCAAAATTTAAATTGCTAGACTATCATTTAAAATCATTTCATCAGATATTTCAACTTAACCCACAGCTTTTCTACAACCAGTAATTTTGGATCAAATAATAATCAATTACCAGTAGCTCCTGTTGGACCAGTATTGCCTGTTGGACCAGTAGACCCAGTTGCTCCGGTCGATCCAGTTGCACCTGTAGGTCCGGTGGCACCTGTAGGACCAGTTGATCCTGTAGTTCCAGTAGATCCTGTAGGCCCAGTAGCGCCTGTTCCACCAGTTGCGCCAGTTGTTCCAGTAGACCCAGTAGAACCAGTTGATCCCGTTGCCCCAGTAGCACCAGTGGCACCATCATTTCCAGTGTTTCCTGTAGGACCAGTAGCACCTGTGGCTCCCGTTGCACCAGTTGTCCCATTAGGCCCTGTAAAACCAGTTGGACCTACAGGGCCAGTTGCACCTGTAGCTCCAGTTGCCCCCGTTCCTCCTGTAGCCCCTGTTGCACCAGTTGCTCCTGTTGGGCCTGTGGCGCCGGTAGTTCCATTTGCACCAGTTTGACCTGTGGCGCCAGTTGGGCCAACAGAACCTGTAGACCCAACAGGACCCGTTGCACCAGTTGTTCCCGTTGCTCCTGATAATCCAGTGGCGCCTGTGCTTCCCGTTGGACCTGTTGCTCCTGTGATAGAGTAATGCATAATGGGGTTTAAATAAACATTTACATAGGTTAGAGAATAAAAGCCTTAACAGTCAAATATAAAATGTAATTTCTGCGTTTACTGTATTGTTTAAATCATCAATGCTAAATAGGCGTTAAGTTATGGAAAGGTCAATGACTCGTATTAAAAAATCAATAGTTACCCTCTGAATATAAATATATCGTTGTAACGAAATGCCTGAAATAGTTATTTAAATATATTTGTCATGAAATCTAATTGAATGGAATTTAATCAATCATTTGCCAATAGGCATCGCACGGAAAACCCCAAAAGATCTGGGGGGTTGGTATTGAAAGACTGACATCAACAGGAACTGGCAAAATGAACTTGTGCTAACGCACAAAAACGTAAACGTACGCCTGGCTACAATGGATTCTAAAGCCCAAAAGGTATGGAGAAAGCTGATACCTGTTGGTCCCACGGCTCCAGTTCCCCCTGTTGGTCCTGTAGCCCCAGTTGCACCTGTTGGTCCAGTCCCACCCGTAAATCCAGTAGCTCCTGTAGCACCAGTAGGTCCAGTTGCTCCTGTGGTTCCATTTGTACCTGCTGCACCCGTTTCACCAGTTGAACCAACAGGACCTGTTGCCCCTGTCGATCCAGTGTCCCCTGTTGCACCTGTAGCACCTGTGTTACCAGTTGCCCCAACCGGTCCTGTTGATCCTGTAGCACCTGTGGCACCTGTGTTGCCTGTTGCACCTACTGGACCTGTTGCTCCGGTAGCACCAGAAACACCAGTTACACCAGTTTGTCCCGTTGGACCGGTNTCTAAAATGAAGTCGAACTGCCAAGTCAAAAACCAAATTAATTTTTCATTGACCCTAAAAATAGCTTTAAAACTGCACCTTCTTTTCCTTTTTGGTCGTTTATTGACCGATTGATCGCTACATGACGTACTGCCAGTGCATTGTATAATAATCACTCTCACTACATTGTATGGATGTATATCTGTATGTACAATTGCATACTTAATCAATGAGACTACTTAGGAATATTTATTGAACAGAAAAAACAGAAAATATTCTAAAAATATCATTGTTCGTAAAACATGTAACAATGGGGCCATTCAGAATGAGAAGAGTCGGGTGCTAGCTGGTCCACGTCCTAAATATGGCGGACCTACATGAAAGGAAGACCGCTTAATCCTGTAATGGTCTCTCTGACTCTCACATGCCTCCCCACGAGTCATCACTCGACCTAATTTAGGCCGTGGACCAGCTAGCACTCGGCTCTTCTCATTCTGAATGGCTCAATGTCTTTTAGTATTTCTCCAAGTTATACTATATTTGAAACTATATGGTGGCGTTTAGTCAAATTTTGTGGCAAAAATTTGACTTTATATGCATCTTCAAGATCTAACAGCGAAAAGGACACATTGGAATAATATCCGTTTTTCCAACTAGACCAGGAGTTCCGTTGGACCCAAATTAATTTCGTTTTATAGGTGTGGTTGGTGTTTATCATCATCATGCTACATACCTGTTGATCCAGTATTCCCCTGAGGTCCTGTGGCCCCAGTACTTCCATTTATGCCAGATGCACCAGTCTCACCAGTGGGACCAACAGGTCCAGTTGCACCAGTTGGTCCAGTTGCTCCTGTCGTGCCAGTTGAACCTGTACTGCCAGTAGCGCCAGTGCTTCCTGTGCTGCCAGTTGACCCCGTCGCTCCAGTGGGTCCTGTTGCACCAGTTGTCCCATTAGCACCTGTTGCGCCACCAGCTCCTGTAGATCCAGTTGCTCCAGTGGCACCCGTAGCACCAGTTGGCCCAGTTGCTCCTGTAGGTCCTTCTGCTCCAGTTTTCCCCGTAGCTCCTGTTGCACCCGTTTCACCTACTGGACCAGTGGCTCCAGTGGACCCAGTTGTACCTGTTGATCCAGTCTGGCCTTGAGGTCCTGTAGCCCCTGTTGGTCCAGTAGAACCGGTAGGTCCAGTATTTCCAGTGCTGCCCGTACTACCTGTTGGCCCAGTGGCTCCTGTTGTTCCATTTGCTCCAGCCAATCCAGTAGCACCAGTGGCACCCGTAGCTCCCGTTGACCCTGTTGAACCAGTTGCACCCGTGGGACCTGTAGTGCCTGTTGCTCCAGTAGCACCTGTTGGTCCTGTGCTGCCAGTAGGGCCTGTAGTTCCTGTCGCACCTGTTAAGAACTCATAATTCTGTACATAATTCAAAATTTAAATTGCTAGACTATCATTTAAAATCATTTCATCATTTATATTAACTTAACCCACAGCTTTCCTACAACCAGTACTTTTGGATCAAATAATAATCAATTACCAGTAGCTCCTGTTGGACCAGTATTGCCTGTTGGACCAGTAGACCCAGTTGCTCCGGTCGATCCAGTTGCACCTGTAGGTCCGGTGGCACCTGTAGGACCAGTTGATCCTGTAGTTCCAGTAGATCCTGTAGGCCCAGTAGCGCCTGTTCCACCAGTTGCGCCAGTTGTTCCAGTGGACCCAGTAGAACCAGTTGATCCCGTTGCCCCAGTAGCACCAGTGGCACCATCATTTCCAGTGTTTCCTGTAGGACCAATAGCACCTGTGGCTCCCGTTGCACCAGTTGTCCCATTAGGCCCTGTAAAACCAGTTGGACCTACAGGGCCAGTTGCACCTGTAGCTCCAGTTGCCCCCGTTCCTCCTGTAGCTCCTGTTGCACCAGTTGCTCCTGTTGGGCCTGTGGCGCCGGTAGTTCCATTTGCACCAGTTTGACCTGTGGTGCCAGTTGGGCCAACAGAACCTGTAGACCCAACAGGACCCGTTGCACCAGTTGTTCCCGTTGCTCCTGATAATCCAGTGGCGCCTGTGCTTCCCGTTGGACCTGTTGCTCCTGTGATAGAGTAATGCATAATGGGGTTTAAATAAACATTTACATAGGTTAGAGAATAAAAGCCTTAACGGTCAAATATAAAATGTACCTTCTGCGTTTACTGTATTGTTTAAATCATCAAAGCTAAATAGGCGTTAAGTTATGGAAAGGTCAATGACTCGTATTAAAAAATCAATAGTTACCCTCTGAATATAAATATATTGTTGTAACGAAATGCCTGAAATAGTTATTTAAATATATTTGTCATGAAATCTAATTGAATGGAATTTAATCAATCATTTGCCAATAGGCATCGCACGGAAAACCCCAAAAGATCTGGGGGGCTGGTATTGAAAGACTGACATCAACAGGTACTGGCGAAATGAACTTGTGCTAACGCACAAAAACGTAAACGTACGCCTGGCTACAATGGATTCTTAAGCCCAAAAGGTATGGAGAAAGCTGATACCTGTTGGTCCCACGGCTCCAGTTCCCCCTGTTGGTCCTGTAGCCCCAGTTGCACCTGTTGGTCCAGTCCCACCCGTAAATCCAGTAGCACCTGTAGCACCAGTAGGTCCAGTTGCTCCTGTAGTTCCATTTGTACCTGCTGCACCCGTTTCACCAGTTGAACCAACAGGACCTGTTGCCCCTGTCGATCCAGTGTCCCCTGTTGCACCTGTAACACCTGTGTTACCAGTTGCCCCAACCGGTCCTGTTGCTCCTGTAGCACCTGTGGCACCTGTGTTGCCTGTTGCACCTACTGGACCTGTTGCTCCTGTAGCACCAGAAGCACCAGTTACACCAGTTTGTCCCGTTGGACCAGTNCCGAGGAAAACATGTCTTTGTTAATTCCATACACTGTGATCGGTTCTGTTGCAGTGATTTGAAGGCCTTGACGGCCCATACCAGTGCCTGACATGCGCAGAGACACATCAATGTTGAATATAAATACCCCTTTCGGCATTACAATAAACTGCTCTCCTAGCCCGGGTACGGGGGACCAAGATAGTGCTTCTGTGAAGTTCGTGTGAGCCAGTCGTCGTCCATCACGTAAAATACCCTGTTCCATCCCATTATTCTCTGATTGGTGGGATGAGCCAGAAGTATACATTTCTTTAATGAATATGGTTATATTGGATGTACCTTCAAACGAAGCGATGATGAGCTCTAGGGGCATCATGGATGGTGCTTCGACTCGGTTTTCCATGAACATCAAGTAGAATTCTGTTCCCGAAGACATCACTTCCCTGACGCAAGTGCCTGTAAAATGTGATTTCATTATTCTTCTTATGATTGTCAAGAAATTTTTCACATTTGGCAATCCCCCCCAAAATAAATAAGTAAATAAATAAATAAATAAATAAATAAAATAAAATAATAATAATTTAGAAATGAAATAGAAAAAAGACAAGATATCATTATATCATTATATATGCATATAAGCATCCACATTCTCTGTTAATTTAAGCAGCCAGGATCGCTTATCTTGCCAAAAACCAAAATTAAGATAACTCACCAAAATTTGTATCATTGAAGCCTAAATCACTCTGACGTGTGACGGTGGTAGTATATGTTGAGATCCCTACTGTCACTCCCGTGGTACTTGGATGCTCTCCAACCGTAGTAACGGTAGTAGCTGCGGATGTCCGACCAGTTGAAGTGGTCTGCACTGTTGGTACAGTTACACTTGTATCTGAATGTACAAAATTACAAAATCTGATTATAAATTACTGAATGAACAATCTTACACTTGAGTCAAAACATACATAGACCACGGACAAAATAACACGATAGTGGAACTCCTCGACTTAATTATGAAATGAGCATGTCTTTACACTTTAGCAGACAAGGATTTCAGTGACAGTAGATGTAAAACGGTAATTGGTATATTTGGTTACTTACCTACATGAACACCGAATGCAAATATATTGGGTGTTTGTTGGCGGAATTCACATAAGCTGCCAACAGTAGGAAAACCAGAACCATACCACGTTTTGAAAGCAGCTGTCCCGCTTAACGTAAGTGCAAAAGGGATGATGTCTCCAGAAACAGCAAATCCAAGATACATCGATTCTGTTACTTGGAAAGCTGGGACGTCAAACTAAAAATTACCAGAGAAATAAATATTCATTGTTTGTATCTACACAATTTGTACAATTACAAGGTTATCACCCTTGCTTTTTGCCATCTTCACGATAAATATTTCCTTGTAACAATTAATAATATAACGACAAATTTCTCATTTTATATTAAAAGAAAATGTGGGAAATACAAAAGTATGTATAATCGACTTTAAACATACACAAGGCCAGAGGCTATGTATGCAATAAAATAGTAAACTTTCATTTAATAGGAAACGGACAATTTAAGCGTGGACAAAACTTTAAAATGGATATGTTTCTGCTCACGGTGTCAAAGTGTACCTTGAATGTCTTTGCTCGCTGAGCCGGCACGTCCACAACACGGCTGTAGATTAATGTTGTTTCATATGGGACATTTTCTAAGAGGTCAGATTCCGCCTTGTGGAGTTGTAATGCCACTTTAATGCTCCCGGTCCCATTCAGATACGAACTATCTGCCGTTACCACGCTAAAACTCTGAAGAACGCCTGGTCGGACGACATTGAGTGGATCCAACCACTGCTTGTTGGCGCCAACATTATTTCGCAACCTTCTCGTTGTGACCAATGGAGAGCCGAAGTAGTTTACTTCTGAAAAAAATTAAAAGACGAGGGATATCGTAAAAGACAGAGGTTTATAAACGAGAATGACTTGAAATTATTCAAATACTGCGATAATGTACAACTTGTGTGTGTATGTGTGTGTCCGTTTGTGTGTGCGTGAGAGAGAGAGAGAACACATAAAGTTTGGACTTTCAAAGGCAACATTTGTAATCGTTAAATATATTTGTCATGAAATCTAATTGAACTGAACTTAATTAATCATTTGCCAATAGGCATCGCACGTAAAACCACAAAAGATGTTAGGGTTGCTATTAAGTGACTGACATCAATAAGAACTGGCAGAACAAACTTGTGTTAACGCACAAGAACGTAAACGTCTGGCTACAATGGATTCTGAAGCCCAAAAAGTATGGACAAAGCTGATACCTGTTGGTCCCACGGCTTCAGTTCCCCCTGTTGGTCCTGTAGCCTCAGTTGCACTTGTTGGTCCAGTCCCACCCGTAAATCCAGTAGCACCTGTAGCACCAGTAGGTCCAGTTGCTCCTGTAGTTCCATTTGTACCTGCTGCACTGGTGGCTCCTGTTGCACCTGTTTCACCAGTTGAACCAACAGGACCTGTTGCTCCTGTAGCACCTGTGGCACCCGTGTTGCCTGTTGCACCTTGTGGACCTTTTGCTCCTGTAGCACCAGTAGCATCATTTTCACCAGTTTGTCCCGTTGGACCGGCAGCACCAGTTCCCCCAGTTGCCCCTGTGGTTCCGGTTGCCCCAGAAGCTCCTACAGGCCCTGTTGCGTAAGTGGCACCTTTTCACGGCCAAATAGAAACGATAACAATTAATTAAAAAAACACCTAACATGTAGCTTCAAATTTATGTCCACTTCATATTTATGTTTCAATTGAATGACCGGGATTGAATTTAACAATATATCAATTGTTCTTTTATGAATCTTATTCTAACAACTAAAAGAGCGATACGACAATTATTACCTGTAGAACCAGTTGCTCCTATTGAACCAGTAGAGCCAGTGTCGCCAGTAGAAACAGTTCCCCCTGTCAGTCCTGTTGATCCAGTGGGGCCAGTCGGCCCCGTACCTCCAGTATTTCCAGTAGGTCCAGTTGCTCCCGTAGGGCCAGTTCCTCCCGTGGAACCAGTTTCTCCGGTTACACCGGATTCTCCAGTTGGTCCAGTGGCACCCGTCTCTCCAGTTAAACCTTTGGGACCTGTAGCTCCTGTTGATCCAGATGACCCAGTAGCTCCTGTGGGGCCTGTAGCACCAGTTTCCCCAGTTGGCCCCGAAGATCCTGTAGGTCCAGTCTCTCCTGTAGGACCCGTAGCTCCCGTACTTCCTGTTGGACAATCATACTGCAAAAATGAAAGGTATGGCTTAATTTTTACTGACAACAATGCTCGTTTCAATATCAATATTTTAAATAAAAAGCCAACTGTTTATTTTTAACCTAAATGTACTTAATTGTTTAACATTCTAAATTTGCCTAAAATGTACTTTTAAGTTGTTAATTAACCTACAATATCATATTACTTACAAAATTATTATATATCAAGCCAACAGGAAGTCCGTAGCTCTCTCTATCTCCAGTACCGTACAGCAAAGCCATAAACTTGACCGAACTATTCTCATGACGCAAATACTGAGCTACCTCGCCAATCATAGTAATCCGTGTTACAACATACTGCCCTCCCAGTCCGGGTACGGGGGACCAAGATAGTGCTTCTGTCAAGTTGGTGTCAGCCAGTCGTCGTCCATTAAGTAAAATACCCTGTTCCAATCCATTATTCTTTATGGCCAAGAGAAGATGATGTTTGTAACGTCTGGGGGCTGCTGCTTCAGGAAGACCAAACCGATATTCACGTGAATATTGATTCAAAGCAGGCACATATATCATAGATGGGTCGGCCACTTCTTCTGTTGTAGATGAAATCTGACTTTGCACTATCTGAACTAATAATATCGGTTCTGTAGAAGAAATGAAAGTTATGTATTGAGAGTCTGGCAAGGTGTGTTGTAGAAAATCCCCAGCCTTTGCTAACAAATGGGTAGTTGACCCGTCTTTGTTGTGCATTGTTACAGTTGTTCTTGTCACGGAAGCAACTATCTTGATAACATCGCCTCTTGTTCGACCTGGAACAGGGATAACTATGAATTGCTTGCCCCATGAGTTGACCGGTGGGAGCTGCTCTACCAAATGATCCCTGGAAACTCCATCTCCGACACTGGTGCGGATGTTACCACTAAAAACGGAGACAGGATTGGATGCTTTGATGTGTGTCCCTGTCAGATCAGCCTGATTCTGATCCTGAATCTGCAAACTGTCAAATTCGCCCATTGTCACAAAAAATGTATCTCCGTTTGTATAACTGACACCATCGAAAGTAACAGCTATGTTTCTGGAGCTGCTGGAGGGAAGGGTGATGCGTACTTTCGTGTTACCACGCGTAGCTGCGATTCCAAACTGTGTGTTATATGTAGGCGGCCAATAGGTCACTGTATAATAGTCAGTGCCCAATGCAGCCACTGGCAACGCTAGAAAGCCATCAGAGGAAAACATGTCTTTGTTAATTCCATACACTGTGATCGGTTCTGTTGCAGTGATTTGAAGGCCTTGGCGGCCCAGACCAGTGCCTGACATGCGCAGAGACACATCAATGTTGAATATAAATACCCCTTTCGGCATTACAATTAACTGCTCTCCTAGCCCGGGTACGGGGGACCAAGATAGTGCTTCTGTGACGTTGGTGTGAGCCAGTCGTCGTCCATTACGTAAAATACCCTGTTCCATCCCATTATTCACTGATTGGTGGGATGAGCCAGAAGTATACATTTTTTTGATGAATATGGTTATATTGGATGTACCTTCAAACGAAGCGATGATGAGCTCTAGGGGCATTTTGGATGGTTCTTCGACTCGGTTTTCCATGAACATCAAGTAAAATTCTGTTCCCGACGACATCACTTCCCTGACGCAAGTGCCTTTAAAAATGTGATTTCATTTTTTTCTTATAATTATCAAGTAACTTTTCACATTTGGCAATACCACCCCCCCCAAATAATTTAGAAATAAAATTGAACAAAGATAAGATATCATTATATGTATGCATATAAGCATCCACATTCTCTGTTAATTTAAGCAGCCAGGATCGCCTATCTTGCCAAAAACCAAAATTAAAATAACTCACCAAAATTTGTATCATTTAAGGCAAAATCACTCTGACGTGTGACGGTGGTAGTATATGTTGAGATCTCTACTGTCACTCCCGTGGTACTTGAACGCTCTCCAACCGCAGTAACGGTAGTAGCTGCGGTAGTCTGAACAGTTGTAGTGGTCTGCACTGTTGGTACAGTTACACTTGTATCTGAATGTACAATATTACAAAATCTGATAATAAATTACTGAATGAACAATCTTACACTTGAGTCAAAACATACGTAGACCATGGACGAAATAACACGATAGTGGAACTCCTCGATTTAATTATGAAATGAGCATGTCTTTACACCTTAGCAGACAAGGGTTTCAGTGACAGTAGATATAAAACGGTAATTGGTATATTTGGTTACTTACCTACATGAACACCGAATGCAAATATATTGGGTGTTTGTTGGCGGAATTCACATAAGCTGCCAACAGTAGGAAAACCAGAACCATACCACGTTTTGAAAGCAGTTGTCCCGCTTAACGTAAGTGCAAAAGGGATGATGTCTCCAGAAACAGCAAATCCAAGATACATCGATTCCGTTACTTGGAAAGCTGGGACGTCAAACTAAAAATTACCAGAGAAATAAATATTCATTGTTTGTATCTACACAATTACAAGGTTATCACCCTTGCTTTTTTTTCCATCTTCACGATAAATATTTCTTTGTAACAATTTTGTTAACACGACGTTACTATTAAACGATTTAGGGTAAAAAATTAATAATATAACGACATACTTCTCACTTTATATTAAAAGAAAATGTGGGAAATACAAAAGAATGTATAATCGACTTTAAACGTACACAAGGCCAAAGACTATGTGTGCAATAAATTAGTAAACTTTCATTAAATAGGAAACAGACAATTTAAGCGTGGACAAAACTTTGAAATGGATATGTTTCTGCTCACGGTGTCAAAGTGTACCTTGAATGTCTTTGCTCGCTGAGCCGGCACGTCCACAATACGGCTGTAGATCAACACTGTTTCATATGGGACATTTTCTAAGAGGTCAGATTCCGCCTTGTGGAGTTGTAATGCCACTTTAATGCTCCCGGTCCCATTCAGATATGTACTATCTGCCGTTACAACGCTGAAACTCTGAAGAACGCCTGGTCGGACGACATTGAGTGGATCCAACCACTGCTTGTTGGCGCCAACATTATTTCGCAACCTTCTCGTTGTGACCAATGGAGAGCCGAAGTAGTTTACTTCTGAAAAAAATTAAAAGACGAGGGATATCGTAAAAGACAGATGTTTATAAACGAGAATGACTTGAAATTATTCAAATACTGCGATAATGTGCAACTTTTGTGTGTATGTGTGTGTCTGTTTGTGTGTGCGTGAGAGAGAGAGAGGGAACACATAAAATTTGGACTTTCAAAGGCAACATTTGTAATCGTTAAATATATTTGTCATGAAATCTAATTGAACTGAACTTAATTAATCATTTGCCAATAGGCATCACACGTAAAACCACAAAAGATGTTAGGGTTGCTATTAAGTGACTGACATCAATAAGAACTGGCAGAACAAACTTGTGTTAACGCACAAGAACGTAAACGTCTGGCTACAATGGATTCTGAAGCCCAAAAAGTATGGACAAAGCTGATACCTGTTGGTCCCACGGCTTCAATTTCCCCTGTTGGTCCTGTAGCCTCAGTTGCACTTGTTGGTCCAGTCCCACCCGTAAATCCAGTAGCACCTGTAGCACCAGTAGGTCCAGTTGCTCCTGTAGTTCCATTTGTACCTGCTGCACTGGTGGCTCCTGTTGCACCTGTTTCACCAGTTGAACCAACAGGACCTGTTGCTCCTGTAGCACCTGTGGCACCCGTGTTGCCTGTTGCACCTTGTGGACCTTTTGCTCCTGTAGCACCAGTAGCATCATTTTCACCAGCTTGTCCCGTTGGACCGGTAGCACCAGTTCCCCCAGTTGCCCCTGTGGTTCCGGTTGCCCCAGAAGCTCCTACAGGCCCTGTTGCGTAAGTGGCACCTTTTCACGGCCAAATAGAAACGCTAACAATTAATTAAAAAAACACCTAACATGTAGCTTCAAATTTATGTCCACTTCATATTTATGTTTCAATTGAATGACCGGGATTGAATTTAACAATATATCAATTGTTCTTTTATGAATCTTATTCTAACAACTAAAAGAGCGATACGACAATTATTACCTGTAGAACCAGTTGCTCCTATTGAACCAGTAGAGCCAGTGTCGCCAGTAGAAACAGTTCCCCCTGTCAGTCCTGTTGATCCAGTGGGGCCAGTCGGCCCCGTACCTCCAGTATTTCCAGTAGGTCCAGTTGCTCCCGTAGGGCCAGTTCCTCCCGTGGAACCAGTGTCTCCGGTTACACCGGATTCTCCAGTTGGTCCAGTGGCACCCGTCTCTCCAGTTAAACCTTTGGGACCTGTAGCTCCTGTTGATCCAGATGACCCAGTAGCTCCTGTGGGGCCTGTAGCACCAGTTTCCCCAGTTGGCCCCGAAGATCCTGTAGGTCCAGTCTCTCCTGTAGGACCCGTAGCTCCAGTACTTCCTGTTGGACAATCATACTGCAAAAATGAAAGGTATGGCTTAATTTTTACTGACAACAATGCTCGTTTCAATATCAATATTTTAAATAAAAAGCCAATTGTTTATTTTTAACCTAAATGTACGTAATTGTTTAACATTCTAAATTTGCCTAAAATGTACTTTTAAGTTGTTAATTAACCTACAATAACATATTACTTACAAAATTGTTATATATCAAGCCAACAGGAAGTCCGTAGCTCTCTCTATCTCCAGTACCGTACAGCAGAGCCATAAACTTGACCGAACTATTCTCATGACGCAAATACTGAGCTTCCTCGCCAATCATAGTAATCCGTGTTACAACATACTGCTCTCCCAGCCCGGGTACGGGGGACCAAGATAGTGCTTCTGTCAAGTTGGTGTCAGCCAGTCGTCGTCCATTAAGTAAAATACCCTGTTCCAATCCATTATTCTTTATGGCCAAGAGAAGATGATGTTTGTAACGTCTGGGGGCTGCTGCTTCAGGAAGACCAAACCGATATTCACGTGAATATTGATTCAAAGCAGGCACATATATCATAGATGGGTCGGCCACTTCTTCTGTTGTAGATGAAATCTGACTTTGCACTATCTGAACTAATAATATCGGTTCTGTAGAAGAAATGAAAGTTATGTATTGAGAGTCTGGCAAGGTGTGTTGTAGAAAATCCCCAGCCTTTGCTAACAAATGGGTAGTTGACCCGTCTTTGTTGTGCATTGTTACAGTTGTTCTTGTCACGGAAGCAACTATCTTGATAACATCGCCTCTTGTTCGACCTGGAACAGGGATAACTATGAATTGCTTGCCCCATGAGTTGACCGGTGGGAGCTGCTCTACCAAATGATCCCTGGAAACTCCATCTCCGACACTGGTGCGGATGTTACCACTAAAAACGGAGACAGGATTGGATGCTTTGATGTGTGTCCCTGTCAGATCAGCCTGATTCTGATCCTGAATCTGCAAACTGTCAAATTCGCCCATTGTCACAAAAAATGTATCTCCGTTTGTATAACTGACACCATCGAAAGTAACAGCTATGTTTCTGGAGCTGCTGGAGGGAAGGGTGATGCGTACTTTCGTGTTACCACGCGTAGCTGCGATTCCAAACTGTGTGTTATATGTAGGCGGCCAATAGGTCACTGTATAATAGTCAGTGCCCAATGCAGCCACTGGCAACGCTAGAAAGCCATCCGAGGAAAACATGTCTTTGTTAATTCCATACACTGTGATCGGTTCTGTTGCAGTGATTTGAAGGCCTTGGCGGCCCAGGCCAGTGCCTGCCATGCGCATAGACTCATTAATGTCGAATATAAATACCTCTTTCGGCATTACCGTAATCTTTGATTGGTGGGATGAGCCGGAAGTATACATTTCTTTTATGAATATGGTTATATTGGATGTACCTTCAAACGAAGCGATGATGAGCTCTAGGGGCATCATGGATGGTGCTTCGACTCGGTTTTCCATGAACATCAAGTAAAATTCTGTTCCCGAAGACATCACTTCCCTGACGCAATTGCCTGTAAAAATGTGATTTCATTATTCTTCTTATGATTGTCAAGTAATTTTTCACATTTGTCAATACCCCCTCCCCCCCCCCCCAAAAAA